ATGAGGGAAATTCAAAGCAGTGAATACTCATATTAGGAAAACAGAGCAAGCTCAATTAAACAACCTGATGCTGAACCTTCTAGAAAGCTTCTAGAAAAAGAAGAGCAAGAAAAATGCAAAGCTCATACAAGGGAGGAAATTATAAAGATCACAGCAGAAATCAATCCAATGGAGACTAAGAGAATGACAAAAAAAAGTCAATGAAGCCAAGAGTTGGTTCTTTGAAAGAATAAACAAAATTGAGACACCATTAGCTAACTTTATCAGAAAAAGGCAAGAAAAGGCCCGAATCCATGCAATTAGGAATGAAAAGGGTGAAATTACAACAGACCCAACAGAAATCCAGAGGATCATCAATACCTACTTTGAGAACCTATATGCCAATAAGATGGAAAACACAAAAGAAATGGACAGATTCCTAGATACATATGAATTACCAAAATTGAACGAAGAAGACCTAAAAATTCTGAACAACCCAATATCAGTCAATGAAATTGAAAATATAATAAAAACTTACCAACTAAGAAAAGCCCAGGCTCTGATGGCTTCACTGATGAACTCTGCAAGGCATTCAGAGAGGAGCTACTGCCAATAGTGTTTAAACTCTTCAATGAAATTGAAAGGGAAGCAATACTCCCAAATTCATTCCTGGAAGCAAGCATCACCTTGATCCCCAAAGCAGAGAAAGACCCAACTAAAAAAGAGAACTATAGGCCAATCTCACTAATGAACATAGATGCAAATATCCTTAATAAGATGCTGGCAAATAGAATGCAGAAGATCATCAAGGAGATCATGCACCCTGATCAAGTGGGATTCATCCCAGGGATGCAGGGATGGTTCAACATACGAAAATCAATCAATGTAATACACTATATCAGTAGAGCCAAGGACAGAAACCATATGATCATCTCCACAGATGCAGAAAAAGCATTTGACAAAATCCATCATGCATTTATGATAAAAACCCTAGAAAAATTGGAATAGATGGTCTCTGCCTCAATCTGATTAAAGCCATCTATGAAAAACCAACAGCCAATATCATACTAAATGGTGAAAAAACTGAAATCCTTCACACTAAAATCAGGAACAAGACAAGGATGTTGACTATCACCACTCCTGTTCAATATGGTTTTGGAAAATTTAGCCGTGGCAATTAGACAAGAGAAAGAAATAAAAGGAATAAAGATAGGAAATGTAGAAGTCAAATTGTCATTATTTGCAGATGACAGGATACTCTATATAAAAGATCCCAAGAACTCCACCAAAAGTCTTCTAGACTTAATAATCAAATTCAGTAAAGTATCTGGATTCAAGGTCAACATACAACAATCCTCTACACGAACAGACTCACTGAGACAGAAATATGACAAACAATTCCTTTCACAATAGCATTCAAAAAACTGAAATACCTAGCAATCAACCTAACAAAAGAAATCAAAGACCTCTTCTCCAAAAACTATAGCACTCTCAAAAGAGACATTGAAGATGATATCAGAAAATGGAAAGACATCCCTTGTTCCTGGCTAGGAAGGTTCAACATAGTAAAAATGGCCATTCAGAAACGCCAAACCGGCTCGAACAGAGGTTAGGTAGAACTCTTGAAGACATGGGTGTAGGAAAAGATTTTATGAACAAAACCTCAGTTGTCCGTGAACTAGCACAAACAATCAACAAGTGGAATGTCTTCTTATTAAAAATTTTCTGCACAGCAAGAGGAACCACCAGCAGTGTGAAGAGATAACCCACAATGTGGGAAAAAATCTTCACCCGCTCTTCCTCAGACAAAGGTCTACTATCTGTAATCTATAAAGAACTTAAAAAGATCAGACCTCTCAAATTTAAAGACCCAATCCAAAAATAGGCATCTGAAATGAACAGACATTTCTCAGAGAAAGAAGTAGAAACAGTAAAGAGATTGCTTATTTCCCTCCCACATTGCTTGCTATTTGTACTCCAGATGTGCTTGCAAATAAGTTCTGAGTGTTCCTTAGGGTCAAGGGGTCCACCTTCCATTATTTGCAACTGGCAGTGTGTCTTGTAACTAACTGCTTCTGGGTTCTGATACCCAAAACCTCCAAGGAAGGGAGTGTTCCCGCAGTCTAACCATTCTTCCCCATGACCAGTGTTCCTACCTCACTGAGCATGTGCAGAAGAGACAGAAGAAGAACTCCAACCTCAGCTCCACCCCCATTTAAAAAGTAGGTTATAAATAACTAGCAGGATGTGCTCTCTGGTTCTCTTATTCACCAGGGCTCAGATAAAAAGGAGGAAGTAAAGAAAAACATGCATTATGGGAAGGAAAAGGCCTCATCAGAAAGAACAGCATGTGTTCTTCCCTTGCTATCTTCATCACAGCATACTTGGAGATGGCACAAGTTGCCCAAGTTCTCAGATCTCTGCATCCCTTCATGTACTCTATATGCCCTGACAACATTTAAGAACACATCTGCACAGAAGGATGTTCACACAGATAGCGCTGGAAGCAGACAGGGTGCTGGGGCCTAGAGAACCTGACTCAGGGGTAGGGCTACAATCTCACCCATCTTTTTTCCTTTCAAATGCACACAGTAATGCAACCTATTCCTGTATGAAGATATAGAAGATTTTCACAACCCCATAAAGTTTTCTTATCCCCTTTTCCTGGCCAGTGTCCCTTTGACAGCTGAAATAATCACTAAACTTATTTCTATCACCATAGGCTCATTTCTCCTCTTTAGAACTTTATATAAATGGAAATATTACACTATTTTTTTTGTTTGTGTCTGGCTTCTTTCAACCAGAATGTTTTGCAATTACCCATGTTTCAGTGTGTATCAATAAGTCTTTGCATTTTATTGCTGAATAGTAGTCCATTGCACAAATGTCAGTTTGTTTATCTGATCATGCATTCAGGGACATCTGGATTGTTTCTAGCTTTTGGCTTTAATGAGTAAAGCTATTCTAAATATTTTTTTTCCAAATCTTTCTTCAAGTGGTGGTTCATAAGGCTGATGCAAATTTAACTTAAGCTACTGTCAACCAGTTTTCCCAAGTAGCTGTACCATTTTATACTTCTCTCTCCTCTCCAAACTGCAGGTGCTTGCTTTGCCCTTTCCTCAAGTGTAACATGGGCCTTGCTCAAGGTGACCCTTGGCTTGGATCCTAAAAATGGCCAAGTCTTGCTGAAGTGTAGGATTTATCTGGGAAGAGGGACACTTCCTTAACAGGCTCAGGGTTGAAACACTGGGAGCCAAATCTTGATGGTGGAGCAGGATTTACAGAGAATCGGTGAGTCTCTTCTGTGGCAGATCTGGCCTGAGAGGATTGGCAGAGAAGCCTCGTATTCAAAGCTTTATGGGGGACCTGGGTCATGTTCTCCTGGCAGGCTGAGGTAGTGGCCCTATTCCTACAAAACTCTGCTGAGTGGCTTCAGATAGTTAAGTGAGTGACTGGAGTTAGACAAAGAGCATCTGTTGATGTGCTCTTGCCTGCTTTCCTACATCAAACCACTGTACTTAACCTCATGTCAAAATCTGCTGCGGTTTCTGAGTTGCATTATTTTTAGTTCTCCTTCCTCTTCGTCTACTTCAGAAGATGTTTAAGTCACCTTAAAGTGATTTATGATTATTAATCACCCAAATCTTTGAAACTTTATACATTTATGTGTTTTAATAGAAGAAAATTGATAATGGCCAAAGCCAACTTTTTATGTTTTCACCGAGGAAGAAAGAAATCTATTAAGCACAACAAAGCTAACAGAAGTTATGAAATAGTTGACTCTAGCAACAAAATTATTTCACTATCATTCCAGAGCTTCAGTTGGGAATTTATGACCTATATCAATTGATTAAACATCCTTTGGAAATAATTCATATACTATGTATTCACAGCCACAGTTAAAATTTTTGACATTTCTCCATGAGGAAAATACATTTTCTCCAAGCTAATTCTCTAAGACTCGAACCTATACACACTATTTTCAAAATAGCACAGACAACTGTGTAGATAATTTTTCATAAAATAAAGCAAGTTGGTCAGATTACAAACTTTGAACTCAAGTGAATTTATACCAAATTTGTCTTAAGAATATCTCAGTCCTTTCTGTTGTCTTTGAATATAAAAGTCGAAGTTTAAAGCTGATGCTTTCTCAATGTGAAGGTCTATCAACCTCTGCTTCTCCTCTCCTCAAAAATGAAGGGAATTTATGTAATTATCATCCATCTAATTGTCTTCCTGATAAATAAATATATTGTCTTTCCATCTTCCTTTTGGGTTTACCATCAAAGCCATCTAATGTTGGTATATCAAAGTTGCAGATATTTACAAATATATTGAATTAATTAACAAAACAATTTCAGTGATCATTGAATGTAGCTGTTGCTTTGGAAACAGTGTTTTGCAGTGCAGATAAAAATATTTCAGCAAGTAAACTGTCATCAAAGGTAATGAGCATTATTTTGCATAAAGATAAATAATTTAGTTTTTTCTATTTGTAGGTAGACTATGTCCATTAATAGTAAAGTCATTTCCCTATTTCCCTATTGAGCCCATCAACAGGCACAAGAAAACAGAGTCAATATTTGGTCTGCACAGAAGAGGCCACTAGATGATGCTGAAACAATTTGTTGAGGAGTTAACTGGGTTTCTATTGCGCTAAACCAAGTGTGGTATTGTTCTGTGTCATGTAGACAGAGCTTGAGTATATTTCACCCTATTTTGGAACATGTCAGCACTGCTTAAGGGTAAAGTGTGGTTCGTCTCCATGTCATGACTGTATGTATTTAATAATCACAGTTGCTGGTGAACTAGAGTCGTGAGCTCTCTCCTTGCCATCATTTTTCCCATGGTATTTTATTTTTTTT